CTCCAAAGTGGACAATGACAGGAAGTAGGCATGATCCACAGTGGAAGTGGACAGGAAGTAGGCATGATCCACAGTGGAAGTGGACAGGAAGTTGGCATGCTCCAAAGTGTACAATAACAGGAAGTAGGCATGATCCACATTGGAATTGGACAGGAAGTAGGCATGCTCCAAAGTGGACAATGACAGGAAGTAGGCATGATCCACAGTGGAAGTGGAAAGGAAGTAGGCATGCTGCAAAGTGGAGAATGACAGGAAGTAGGTATGATCCAAAGTGGACAATGACAGGAAGTAGACATGATCCACAGTGGAAGTGGACAGGAAGTTGGCATGCTCCAAAGTGGACAATAACAGGAAGTAGGCATCATCCACAGTGGAAGTGGACAGGAAAGAGGCTTGCTCCAAAGTGGAGAATGACAGGAAGAAGGCATTCTCCAAAGTGGAAGTGAACAGAAAAGAGGCTTGCTTCAAAGTGGAGAATGACAGCAAGAAGGCATGATCCAAATGGGAAGTGAACAGGAAAGAGGCTTGCTCCACAGTGGAAGAGGACAGGAAAGAGGCTTGCTCCAAAGTGGGGAATGACAGAAAGTTGGCATGCTGTAAACTGGAGGTGGACAGGAAATAGGAATTTTCTTGCTGTTTTAGGTTTAATTGAAACAAAGTCAGGATAAAGTGAGAAAGAGTTGGAAAAAACTTTTCTTTGTTTTTGTGGGTTATTGATCAGAGAGTTGGTTTTTCTACATTAGAATTGTGATTCTATATCAAAGTTCCTAAAATTTCCCACACTAATTCACTAAAGGGTTTTTAAACAATTTAAAATCAACTGCCTACATTTTTTGCTAGAAAACCCCCCAAAACTTGAACAAGCGGACTGGAGAGGAAGGTGAAGCAGAAAGTATTTGGTTTGAGAAATCTTAAACTTAGTATGACAGAGAATAAGAAATAATACTGGTTGTGTTAATCAAATCTAAACCGTTAAAAGTTTTACACTGACAAGCAGAAGGAGAATTTAAATAATGGATAACCCCAAACATTATGCAAAAACCTGTTTTTCTTATTACTATTTGTGAAACAGCGAGCAAACCTAATACGGTGACTGAGAATGTGCACTGGTCTTTCCCGACTTTATTGGACACTTCCATCCTGTAGTCCGAAGTGTCTCCTTTCTCCGCTGTCAAAATCTTCATGATGGCTACGTTGTCTTTCACAGTCATCTTATATTTTCTCCCACTGATCATCTCCTTCCCATCTTTGAACCACTTGACTTTCAGCTCTGGGCTTCCACAGACTGTACACTCAAACGTGGCTGATTCGCCTGCAGTCACACTAATGGACTCTGCAGGTTCTACAACTCTAGCCGGTTCTGGTGTGAAACAGATTTAGTGGTCATCAAGGGAAAGACTTTTTTACAACCTGTGAAAAAATTGCATCAAAGATTTCTTCTGACCTTGCACAATCAGGGTAGCTTCACATTTCTGCTGCCCGGCATCATTTTCTGCCTGGCATGAATACTTTCCGGCATGACCAATCGCCACTGCTGTTAAAGAAAGGCTTGCGATGCCATTTTCAAAAACCATCTTAATGTTTGGATCATCGTCTCTGAGTATTTCAGAGTTTTTCAGCCATTTAACAGTAATGGGAGCTGATCCCTTTATGGTTCCTTGTAGCTTGACTGCATTTCCCAACACTGCTGTAACACTTTCAACTCTTTTAGAGAAAGATGGCGGCTCTACAAAAACATGTTAAAAGTTAAAAGCAGACTCTAAGTTGCAGCACTGTTGTTCGGCCTGTAAAGTGTTCACCAACCTTTCAGCTTAGCTGAGGCCTTGGTGGTTACCTTCCCAACATCATTGGATATGACACACTGGTAATCACCAATGTCTGCACTTTCAAAGGTCTGGATCTCCAGCCTTGAAAGAGAGTCTTGGGAAATGATTTTATATTTCTGATCACCTGTTATTGGCTTCTTATTTTTTATCCAACTGATTTCAAAGGGAGCTGTTCCTCCAATCTCACACTCCAGGTGAGCTGCTTCACCTTTCACAGCTTCTACAGTCTGCAGGTCTTTTCTAATGAACGGAGGCTCTGAATGTCAAAAGATTTTGGTGTATTTAGTTAAAACCAAGGATTCCAAAGCTGAAAACAAACAATCTCAGAAGCCTATCGAGGGACAAACCTTTAACAGCAACCAGAGCACTGCAGCTCTCACTACCGGCATTGTTTGACACCTCACATGTGTAACCCCCACTGTCTGTCACCTGGAGGTTCAATATTTCCAAGCATGTAACTCCATTTTTAAAGGTGATTTTATATTTCTCTCCATCACTAAGCTCTATGTCGTTCCAGAACCAGTGGATGTGAAGTTCAGGCGATCCTTTAATGCTGCACTGTAAACGTGCAGCTGCACCCTGCTTCCAGGTAATCTTAGGTTCCATTTTCCTGACAAAAGCAGGAGGCTCTGAAAGAGTGTTTAGAGACACATAGACTTTATACACATTAACAAAGCAGACAGAAAAGCATCAGCATTAAAAAATACAAAACAAAGGACAACACAGCAACACATTAGCAACAGCTGGAGGGGAGTGCAAACAACCACCAGAGATTTTTCACCTGCAGTTTCTTACCTTGTACAGTAACCACAGCCTCACAGGAGGAGCTCCCAGCCTCATTTGTGGCTGTGCAAACATATATCCCAGAGTCCTTCAGTTTGGACTTGGGGATCTCTAGAATGGCCACCTTATCCTCAAAGGACAGTTTACAGTCCATGCTCAAGTGGACTTTTTTGCCATCCCTTGTCCAGGTGACAGTCACAGCAGTGTCCTCATCCACCTGGCACTCCAGCCTCAGCGGGTCATTGACAGCAACAGACGTTGGCTGAAAGGTCCTAACAAAGATGGGCTTACCTATAACCGTAAGATCTGTGGTAAAAGTAGCTGTGCCAACGCTGTTGGAGGCCTTGCAGAGGTACACCCCCTTATCAGCCAACTCAAGACTTTTAATCTGAAGAGAATATTTGTTCCTTTCACTTTTTATGACATAATTCCCTTCAGACATTATGGCTAAGTTGTCCTTGTGCCAGACAACCTCCATTGGTGACGATCCAGTAAGTGAGCATTGAAGAACGGCTTGTTTTCCCACAAATAGGGTCATTGGCTCTGGTTTTGAAACAAATACTGGTGGATACATCTCTACAGAAAGCAGGTAGGACATACAGAGCGCTTAACTCAGTTGCAAGACACATCAGAAACAAACAAAACTTTCTAACATGTAGAGGGATGTGTGTTTCACAGAGAAGACAATTTAAAACCACTGCAGGAATCAAACAAGCACCACCCTTTCAGTGTTGACGAGTAACATTAAAACAGAACATAAATATAATTCTCTCTCTCTGTCTCCAACAAATACATGCACAGCCACTTGGAAAAAAGGAAGTTCCCACTGGGACATTACCAGTTACGATGAGAGAGGCGGTGCAGCTGTCAAAGCCGTGCTGGTTTGAAGCTTTGCAGGAGTATTCACCGCTGTCAGCCTTCACAGGATTCAGGAGCTCCAGGGAAGAGCCTGTATGGCTGCTGATGATCCGGTACTTCTCACTCTGTCTTATTTCTATACCAGCTTTGTACCATTTAAAGGTCACGTTCGGAGCATCCTCGGTCTCACAGTCAAACTTTGCTTGACCCCCAACGTTGATCTCGACAGGGTTGATTTTCTGCCTGAAAACCGGTGGCACTGTGGCAAATGAAAAGAGTTAAAAGTAGATGTTAGTTATGTTATCTCCACCTATCATTGTATGTAAAAGAAATGGACAGATAAGGAACGTGAAAGGTGAAATGTACAGCAATGGTGGAAGGCAACTCAAAATGACTGTGAGGAAGAAGAAGAGCAAGAACATTAACCCCAGATGGTTCTAATGGGGCTATGGTTCCAGCTAAAAGGAGGAGGGGAAAAAAAAACTTGAAAGTGTTGCAATGGCAAGTTGAAGCCCTCTAACATGCAGAAAGACTGGCAATGTGGCAAGAATGGACCTAAGACTGTGACAGAACAAAGTTTAAGACCCCATTGATGCTGCATGCCAAAGTGATTCTAAAAAGGCTTTGAGAGTGTCCAAAAGACCAGATGCTTGACCAATATTGCAATGTGGTAATAGACCACAGGACCTTATGGTGACCTTTGCAAAACTATGGTGACTCTGGTCTTTTGGACATACTAATCAAGAAAGACATGAAACAAACAGAACAAGGTGAGTTAGTAGAATCCAGTGCCCTGCGAACAGTGCTCATGCCGAGCTATGAAATGGAGAGAAAAACCAAAGTGACGGATACAAAGTGCTTGAATGTTGACAGAGGCTTGAAATGAATAAACTTGTGAATTAGTAGTTGATCTCAGAGGAAATGGATGGGTGAATGGATGAATGGTACAAATAATTCTCCTGTTAGCAAACCTCTTGGGACCACAGTGAGTCTTGAAGACGTTGTTGTCCTGCCGGCTTCATTCTCAGCCTCACAAACATATTCGCCTTGATGTCTCTCCTTGACAACTTTGTTGATAATCAGTGAGTATGTGTCATGGTCTTGTACACACTTGAACTCTTTGCCAGATTTCACCAATTGGCCATTGAAAAACCAAGTTACCTTCACTACATGTTTAATGGTTGTGCTAAAAGTGACTTCGCTATTTTCTTCTATGGACAAGTCCTCTAGGGACATGACAATTTCAGGGTATTCTCTCTGCTCTGGTCTGGATACTGTAAACTCTTCTTTGAAGATTTCCTCCCTGTGCTCCTGCTGGATGCTGACATCTATTTGTTCAGTAGATGTGAAGGAAGGAGGCAGAGCAGTAGGGACTAAAGAAACCCCTTCGTCTTTTTCTTTATATTCTACCATTACAGATTTTACCTCTTTCCTTGCAACTTTAACTGACTGTTCAAAGGCCATCTGAGCTTCTGTGGTTATTTTAGTCTTGGATGAAACAGACTTTTCTGTTTTGGATTCTTGCACTGCAACCAGTCTCTCTGCTGTAGCACATTGATCTATGACCTTAGATTCAAGCTTAAGTGCAGCAGCCTGAGATTTCACAGCTGTTATATCTACTGTGCCCTCTGTCACATGCACAGTCTCTACCATTGTAGAAAGCATTTGCTTCGACCTGGCTGAGGTAACCTGAGCCTTTTGAGGTTTGTCCAGCTGCATGGTGCCCGGGCGCTCTGAGGTAAGAACATGGGCCTCCTGGTAGACTATAGAGTGGAACGCTGCTTGAAGTTCGGTCCTAAGATCAGCTGTCTGTGGGTATTCCCCTTCAAAAGCTAGTGTGATCTCTACAGGGGCACCTGTTGTTGTAATCAGATATGTAAACATAGAGCGTTTGGGTTCTCGCTGAACTTTGACCTCCTGAACTTCCACAGCCTGGAACCTTCCAACAACATCAGCCAGCAAGACAGGCTGGTCACTGGCCACAGCAGACTGGAGAGCCTCTCTAAGTTGTCGCTGTATGTTCAGACTGGATGGTTTAGGCAACTGAATCAAAAACGTCATCTCTTTGGGGAGAATTGTGCTCTCTTTAGATTCTGATACCATCAATGACATTTTTGGCTGTGTGCTAACTACAACTTTTGTTGACTCCGACTTGCAGATTTCTCGAGAGTGCTCCCCTGTCAATACTTGCTTCTCATCCATCACAATTGATTGCCTAATGGACTGACCCTCCTGGATCTGAACAGCAAAGTCCTGTTCTGCTGCCTCCAGAGAAATGCTGCTCTCGGTGGAGATCTCCTTCTCCTCGATTTGGACTGGTTCAGTGGGCATTTTGGGCTCTACAGTTGTCTGACACTTGAATGTGTCTACACCTGACAGATTTTCTGCATGACCCTCTTCTAAGACCTGACTGTCTGCTACACTGGTGACGTTCATCACATTCCAGCGATCTTCCTTCTGCACTAAAGCTCTCTGGTGCTTAAAGTCAACAGTAATGGGGGTTTCCTTTGGAAGTTGCATGGGCTGGTAGGAAACCTGGAGGATATTATGAGGCTTGGGTTCAGTTCGACATTTAGACTGAACTCCACTGACTGACAAATCTAGCTCAGCAATGTAATTTGCTGTCAACTCCCTCCTTTCTTCTGACATGGCTGCATGGCTTCTTGATTTTTCTTGCTTTTGAGTTGCCACCTGTTGATCAGGCTTTTCAGCTGTGAGAAGATCCTCTTTGGGCAGCACCTCTACAGGTTGGGTTGACTGAAGATGCAACAGAGTTGGAGCCTCTTTTTGGGGTTGAATGGCTGTTGAAGTGGCCTTGGCCTCAAACTCTGATGAGTCTTCACAAATAACTGTTCTCTGCTCATCCTGACTGACAGTGTGCAGCAAAGTGGGACTCGTCCTGGTTTCTGCCTGTTCATGTTCAGGTTTTTCACAGCTGAAACTCTTCTCAGATGGAAGGAGGTCCTGGTCTGTGATGACCTGCAGGTGCAGCACCTTTCCACTTTCTACCTTTGACTGAATAGTCACAGTGCTCTCCATGCATGGCAGCTCTTGCGTGGGGTCAGCCTGCAGTACTTGCCTTTCTTCAGCATTTAACGCCGCCTTCAGTATCTTATCCTTAGAGAACTGGGCTGCCTCCTCAGCAGGCATCTGCAAGGAGAACTCTGTCTCCTTGGAAAAGGTCTGTTTAGACTCACTTACTGAGGCTAAAATCGGTCGGCTCGGTTCTTTCTTACTGGTGGATTCTACAGCAGTATCTGCAGTTGCTAGCTCAACTGTGTGGCCTTCTTCAAGTGGCTGTTTCTCTGCAGACTGGGCTGAATATAAAATCTTGTCACCTTCCTTAACCCTGTAGCCTTTCTCTTGTTGTTGTCCAGGGATATCCTCAGACTGCTCTCTCATGATAGAAAGCTGTGACTCCACCTGATATCCGCTGACCAGCTGCTTGGGCTCGGAACTTGCTTGGACTTTCGCAGGCTGCCTATCATGAAGAGGCTCTGTGCTGACAGTAGAAAGAGGGGTGAGTTCCTCCGCCACAGCAGACATTAATTTTGACTGTTTTTCTCTTGCTAGCTGCAGCTCAATGACCTCAGGGCTTTGAAGGCGGTCACAGTGCTGCTCTGTGAGACCCTGACTCTCCTCCACAGAGGATGTAAATGCTGCCATGTGAAGCTGTTTCCCTGGAACAGCTGATGATTGAGGAGGGTGAGTGGAAACCAGAGAGACACGCTCCTCTACCTCATGAGTCTGAAGCACAGCAGCCTGTTGTGTCAACATCTCACGATGGATAGTTGCAGCAGAAATGTTAACCTCTCCAAGCGAGCTCACCTGCTCACTTGGAATTATCTTCCTGTCTTCGGTGCCAATGGTGTAAACCATCTGATCTGACCGGGTTCTGTCTTGGCCAGGCAGACTGACCTGGTACAGACGAGACTCCGTTGCCTGTTCTGATACTGACACTTTAGAGGCTTTCTTCTGTACTATGGTCAGCTGCTCGTCTTTGGTCGACTCCTTAAACACAACCAGCTCAGCTCCGCAAGTCGCCTCACCAAACTGGTTGGAGGCTTTGCATGTGTATAAGCCACTGTCTTCTTGTTTGGCAGTCTTGATATTAAGCAGGCCGGATCCGTCTGGGTTGGCCACCATTATACAGTTTCTACTGGGCTGGATTTGGAAAGCCCCTTTGAACCATTTCACATCAGGAACCGGGTCTCCTGTGGCTTTGTAATTAAAATACACCTCCCCTCCCTCTGAACACCTCACGGGTTGGATCTGAACAATAAAAGTAGGTGGTTGACCTGTGACCTTAAACATCTTCTCCACCCACCTCTCTGCCTGGCTGATATCAGGCTTTTTCACCTCTAGGTATGTTGTGCATGTTGTCTGCCCAAACCTGTTGGTAGCAGTGCAAGAATACTCGCCCTCATACTCTGAAGTAACTTTGGTGATCACTAAGGTGTATTCCTCCTTCTCCTCTACCATTCTGTAAACTGAGGAACTCTTTATCACCCTACCGTTGTGAGACCATTGAACAATAGGCTTTGGAAAGCCGGACACCTTAACAGTAAGCCTAGCAGTTTCCCCTGAGGCTATGGCTGCTGGAGACAGCTGGCTGAGGAAAACTGGCTTTTCTTTCTTTTTCTCTAAAGTGGAAGAGTAACGTTTTGGCTCTGGCTTGAGTTCAAGTGTTTTAGATTTCTGTGGTAACTGGACACCAGTGTAGAAGGTTTCCTCTCGTTCTTCCACAGTGGTGATGGTGGTGCTAGAACTCTCTGTCGGGAAATATTAAGCAACACTGAAAACAATGGCCACAAATTAAACCTATAATAAACAAATTAGTGCAAGCAATTACAACAACAAAAAGAAAACTCTTTCCATGAGGATTCAACACTTTATTGGAAACGTAGGTGTAGTTAATTAACAGAAAGTATATGCTGGACTCAAATGGATTGAAAAAGACAATCCTGTGATATATTCTACATTAGATCATTGAAATTGATTTTGCAAACCATTTTGGAATTTACAATTGGGTACAATTTCAATTGCAAAAGTTTTTTTGGACATTTTTCTTAGCCTGGCCAGCATATCAGTCTGGAAAAGATCAGATTTTAAAGGTGTGACTAAAAGAGTCAGCAGAAACAGGTTATACGCATCAGATAACTGATGTGATGAAAAAAAAACTGCTTTTGTTATAAAGAAATCCTCTTACAGCAACCAGTTGTTAACATTTTTTAGCTCCTTCAGGACATAATGAAGGGCATCAATAACACATCCCTCCATTGAAGCTGCAGTCTTGACTGTTATGGTTACAAAAAAGCACTTACTATGGGCTCGCTTCCCACACTGTAATTGGTCTGGTCTGTTTTAGACCGGACAGTATCACAGTAGGATCCTAAATGAATTGGACCCTGTGTAAGTTAGTCTGGCTGGCCAGGCTACATTTCTATACCATGTGCATCTGATTTCTTTTCAACTGCCTTCAACACTGTTGTTCATCAGTTAAATCTTTTCTATAAAATGGACTAACTAAACTTTTCATTTAGCTCGCTCAACAGTAAGAAAAATTTAGGATGTCTCCTTATTGTTTGATGGGTGAAAATTATTATATATTTTCAGACATGACATTTTTCTAAAACTCATTTTGTTGATATACTGTGTATTTATACTATATATTCATATACCTATATAGTGTGTTATTCTCTCACGTTTTTATGGATTGAGGCACCCTATCAAACATAATATAAGCTGCAAAAAGTAATGGTTATCCATTTTTTTTTTTTGTTGAAAATTATGTATTAAAAAGTTAAAATGTTCTTTTCATCTTGTCATTTTACGCTAATTTAATTAGAGCTGTAGACTTTACATTCACTCCTTTTGTTTTTCTTGGTTATTAAATTAAGCGTTTCAAATGACATCCATTCTCTGTGTCCTTCAGCTGTATAATTAGCAGTCTTTTACTAGTTTTATATTACTCATACAATTATCATGGTTTACAATCCTAAATACATGTGAAAGAAAAACATGATGATATTTGACCCAAAAGTAAGAATAAAATCCCACTTTTTAAAAACAACGTTTTATCTTGGTTTAAAGTTTTTTTTAAACAAATCATATTCACACTCAAATTTTACATCATGAAACATTTTATTGTATAAACTCAGACAAACTAAACTGTACAGATAAGCCACAAATGTTTATGTTAACACTACATTTTTCTCATTGTTTTTTTTTCCTCTTATGTTATAGAGCACTCACACACTCCTAACAGTACATATATATATACAAAACATTCAAACCTTCGTTTCTTAAAAAAGTTTCACAGTGTTGTCCTTTTTTAAAATCGCTTCTCTTTCTCTTAATTTTCAACCAGATTAATTGTTTTGCTGAAAAAGCTAAAATACATCCAGATCATGAGGCATCCGAACAACATCACCAAAATAAATGGTTTAAGTCAGTAATACAGAACATTTGAAAGGTTTTTGAAATATATTTCAGATAAGATTTTTTTTAATAAACTCTCATTTTAATGTTACTGAACTTTAGAAAATGAATAGATCATTAAAATTAAAGCTGATAATAAATTATATCTTAAGAAACTCATTCATATATTAAGCTGTCTGAAAACCAAAATCCAAAATGGTTCATCTTGTCCTAAATTAGGTTTCTAATAAAAAATAATAAAATAAATTGATAAATAATGACAAACAAATATCTGTTGTAATCACTGTAAGAACAAGAACATACAATATAAATATAATAAATCTCTCAGTATCTTCATAAAGGCTTATTTTTATTTTTGCTGTATCATCAGTGCAAACATGTTGTTTTTCCACCAATAACACTAAACTTTAGTTTAACATTTGTGACTAAATATTGCACTTGTCATTTTCCTTACATGGACAGTTGCAAAGGTCAAGTAAACAGCATAACTAAAACATTCAAACAGTAAAGCTCTGTGTGTTATCAACTTAAACCAGGACTAAAACTAATCAGGTTTTAAATGACAAGTCAGACTAACATTCTGACAAACAGAAACACAGAGCAGGACAGCAGAAACTCTGGTGCATGTCTCATTGTTGCTTTTAAACCAGTTCCGAAGCACATGTGAAATAAATTTGCCAGCAGCTAGTTAGCACTGCAGCCTCACAGCTATGAGGGTTGTGTGTGCATGAATCATTGCTTAGTTTGTATGTCTCTGTGGTTGACAGGTAAGCAGTTAAAGGGGAAAACCTTGTAAAAGAGACAATTCAAAGTTGCCTTTTTTGGTTTATCTTTGTGTGACTAAGCCTTAACCTCTAGAAAATCTTCAGCAGAGCTGCTGTTTCAGTGCAGCCAGCAGAGTTTTGGATTAAGCACTTGTACTCCCCAGCATCACTCTGGGTCACATTGGTAATGAGCAGATTAAAATGACCAGCGCTTTTTTCCTGGATTATGCATCTACTGTCAGTGACCAGCTCTCCGTCTTTGTACCACTGAGCTGTGGGGTTTGGTTTGCCGCTCACCAAACACTGGAGAATGACAGGCGTCCCTACAGCTGCAGTGACGTTAGTCAATGGGATGATGCATTTTGGAGGAACCTCAGTCACCTGGAATTGAAAGCTGCACATATCAGAAGACTTCCCTTTGAACTCGATCTTTTCATCCTTTGCCGGTTCAGCAAACACATCAAAGTTGACACTAACATATTTCTGCCCTTGTTCACTGGTTTGGTGATCAGTGTTAGCCACCAACCTCACTGCCCGCTGCGACTCATCGCCCTCTTGCTCAAACTCAAACTCAAGTTCAATTTCAGACACCTGTTCACCATCAAACGACGTGTTGCCAACCATCAGATCAAACTTCTGGGGTTGGACTTTAGCGCTTCCTAAAGACACAGCAGTCAGCTCCCTGCCTCTGGTCTTCCCTGAAAAGGCTTTCACACTTATTACCACCAGTGAGGCTCGACACAGTGTCTCCCCAACAAGGTTTATCGCCCTGCAGGTATAAACTCCACTGTCCTGTGTCGTTACCTTACAGATTTTCAGGAAGTGGTTATCTCCATCAGAGGAGTGCAGGTATTTCTTTGTATTGTGTGGGATTTTTTTGTCCCCTCTGAACCAGGACACAATAGGAGATGGGATTCCCATTAGAGAGCACTCAAACATAACAGTGGTACCCTCCGGGGTTTCCATGTCACAGATTGGATTGATGAACCTTGGAGGCATCTCTGTGACCTCAAAAGCTATTTTCAAGTCATCATGCTCCTGAGTGACAAAATCTACAGTGCCCTCCTCATAAATACTGGGTAACACGTCCAGCGATATAATCATGCTCTTGTTGTCTTCAGTGTACTCAGGAATGGTGATGATCTTAACTTGCTTCTCAAACTCCTTGACCTCATTTTCATCCAGTTCTACCTCTAGCAGAATCTCCTGAGGCGATGGAGAACGGGAGGAGTCGTTCTCCTCTACATCAAACTCCATCACATGCTGATGAGTGACAGCAGGAGGTGCTGGCATGAACCTTACCTCCTGTGACACAACCACCACTAGAGCAACACTTCTCGCTTCCCCAACATAATTCACAGCCTCACAGATATATTCTCCCTGGTCAGCTTTGGTGACATTATTAATGACTAACGTAATGTTATCACAATCTCTGTCCATTCTAACCCTCTCGTCTGCCACCAGTTGGGTTTTGTTGAAGAACCACTTCACCTCAGGGGAAGGCAGGCCAAAAACCTCAGCGTAAAATGTCAGTGTTTCATTTTCAAACACTCTTTTCTTAATTAGAGGCTTGAGAAAAGCTGGAGGGATTCCCTGCACTTTTTCCTGAAGGGTGGCCATTCCTAACGACCCTTTTCCCTGAGAGAGAAATCTATTTTCATCCAAACTTCCTCCATTTGTATCAGTTTTAACACCCTCATCAGCAGGAGAGTCGAGGAACTGAACTGGTGAGAAGAACTTCTCAGTGGAACCTGCTGTTGAGGGTCTCTTATGCTGTACTGTAGAGAAGGGAAACTCATCAGGTGTCATAAATCCACTAGGTACATCGGAGCTGGGAGTGTGGAAGGACGGTGGTGATTTGAGAGTGTGAAGGGACTCTGCAATTGGTTGTGAAACCTCAGTAGAAGAGCCGGGAGTGTAAAACCTTTCAGGAATTTCAGCTATCTCTTCGCTCACAGTACTACCAATCTCTATAGACATCTCAGATTCGGGGGTTAGAGGCCTACCCCAGTCAGTTGGAGGGTTGTAGTACTCGTACACAGCCCCAAACGTGACCTCCTCCTCCTCCATGGGGCCAGGTTCTACTGCTCCTCCCTCAGCCTCAGCTGCCAAGGCGCCTTCTGGAGCAGCTCCTTCCTCTTCCAGTTGAGAAGCAGGTGGTTTTACTGGATTGTCTATGTCCTGGTTTCGGATATTTTTTGGGCGTATGGGGTTTACATCCGCAGCATATTTTGCTTTTTTTTCAAGCCTGGCTTTATCTCCAGTTTGTTCTTCTGCGTCAGTCCTTGAGTCTGGCATACTGACATATATGCCACTGTCCATGGATGGCTCTGGGATTGACATAAACCTTTCACCAATGGCTATACTCTCATTTATCTCCTCTGAAATGGATCTCTTTTCAAACCCATCCTTGAGAGTTCCACCTTCAACCAATGACTCTTCAACTATAGCTGCATCAAGTCCAAGAGACAAATTGAAATCCATATCTTGAGTCATAAACTGTTTCTCAGTTTCAAAATGTCCAAAAATTGCTTTTGGTGCCACACCTTCCTCTGCAGGAGCTCTAA